GATGGGATTCATTTTCGACCCTCATAACGAAGATTCACCAATTATAGTTCTCTCTGCTCACTGTACACAGGTATTGTCTTTCCAAATATGACAATGGAATCGAGGAACTAAATCTTCCTATGAACAATGCATTATGCTCAACTGTACCGACTCGACCAGAGATCATGAATACGCTTAGAGGGAGTTTATCTAAGAAATTTGAAAATCTACACGATTGCTGTGTAGTGTAAGGACAAAAAAAGGGAATACTTCTTAAATTAGTCATCAGTCTCCTACGAACGATTCCATGGAAAAATTCAGTAAGCAGCGCTGGATGATGCTTTTCTGAGCAATCAACAATATCTGATGAAAGGTGAGCTGTGAATGGAATCACTCGCCTTTGTGGATGAGGTGCACAAGTCGAAGGCTGCTGCATCTGCACATAATGATACGGCAGAAAGGCATCAGGGAGCCTTCGTGCCATCTCATTCTTTGCTTCTCGCATGATGAGATGGATGGTTATATTTCACAGTACTTCCAGTCATTTTATGCAATTGCGCAATTTTTGCCAATGTTTATTCCCAGCCTTGCGAATCGGCTGGATATTGCAAGCAATTTCTTCCTCGTGTGACAATGTGGTTTCATTCCAGAGATTTTTTTCTCTGCTACTTATCTCGACTGTCTTCCCGAATTAATATCTTCCCATTTCAAGATATGTACAGGTTGGCCCACGGAAAGGTGCCTGGTTCGCTCCACCTATAACTTATTATGTAAATGCGATAGGACCACGAGTTCCTATCGCATTCAGCCATTTAATGTTTCAATGTCCGGGTTCGACCTGCCAAGTTTGGCGTTTATCCAGACTCCAGTGCCTGGGTACTTGACAGGGTACTTTAAAGAAATCCAGTGGTGAAGGCCGAACCCACGTAGCGTATCCGAGGAGAGACCACTTGGGCCAAAAATGAGTCTCCCAAGGTCATAGGCTACTTTCACCTTAGAAAAGGGGAAAAGGGATGGCTGAGATTCCAAAGTGAAAGCACATTTCTTGTCCCAGAACCTCGCGTGCCTGGTAACATCGTATCGCAAGAAATCGTCAGAAAAAAAAAACTCTGAGACCGTTAAGGAGCTGAAGCAAGGAAGAACAGAAGTGATCGACAGCGTTTCAGTCGAAACTCTTGATGCGACCATCCAAACTTATACTAGATGAATTCGTAAATGAGTTGAACGGCGAAGGAAGCACATTCAACACATCCTTTCTAGTCGAAAGAAGCACATCTAACACATCCCGTCCAGTAATGTTTGCAACAGAATAAATCTGTTCCACGCTTTTTACCGGTGTTTCTGTTACATTTCTATCACGAGTTCCCCAGAGTGCCCCGTAAGTCAGTATACAGCTGTAATGTATTGCATTCCTTTACTTATTGGTAAGCAATTGGCACAAATTAGTAAATATTTTCATAGTTGAACCATGACTTCACTGCGTCAATGCGTTGAGCTCTGCTGCATTTGCGCCGCCGATCAGCCATTTCTAACTACCGCGTCTGCAAACAAACTTGGCTACTGTATTCTAACTTATAGGGTACCCTATAGATGGTGCAAATCGGGTACCTTTCCGTGGGTCACTCCGTATACTTCGTATCTGCATTCAAATTCCTCAGGTTGTCATCGATCGATGCAAATTTTTTTTCTTCTCGTTCTCGAATGCGTTAATTGCAGTGGCAGCGAAAATTGGGGTTCTCGCGAGAAACGAAGCAATCAAGAAAGTAAACTTTTCTTTAAAGAAAACAACACTAATTAAACAACGAAGGCTAAAGGTCACCCAACATTTAGCGAAACTGCGAAGAGATGTCAGCAAAAGGTTCGTGAAGAATGTTTCCAATGGGGAAGAAAATTTTCGTTCCATCCCCTCCACATCCATCGTTCGAGTTTTATTTGTTCACTCTGGTCCGATGCCTTTTCGGATCCTTCGACACTCGTCTATGGTACTTCCCATGCAAGAGTACCGGAGTCGAGTACAAGGTGGAGGGGAGTGGAGGGGGTGGGAGGGAGGGAGGGGGTGAAGGGAAGGTCGCACACCTCCCCTAGTGGGGAATAGGTGAAATGCTGTAGTGCAGTCGGGATGGCGGCTACTCTTCACCGCCCACATACAATCGGTAGCTGTAGCATTCAATCGCCTCTCTTGCTATGGTATTCAGCATCAATGCGGCAGTGTCCCCTTGATATCACGCTCGCAACAGACTGGCAAGTGTTGGAATCTTGAGGCCCGGCCGTCAGAGAAATACTTGTCGAGGTTCCTTCTCGGTTGGAGGTCGAGACGTAGTCGATTTACACTCGCAAAAAGACAAGAGTACGTTGTAAGTTCTTGCACATCGAGGATAGAACCTGAAAGGAACTATCTTCGAATCATTAATGAAGTCTTTGTTTTTTGCAATGGGAGGATGACGCAAGATGACTGGATCTACGATTGCCAACTTTCGAAACAGGCCAATTACAAAGTAGATCGTCCTCTAGGTTCACGATATTGCCGTCTGGTCTACAATTTCTGAATCTTTATTCCAGAGCGAGAGTTGAGAATGAAGTCATCCGTTGGAACTCTCGTTTCCCTTCTTGTACTTCTCATCGACTTCACGTTGGCTTCGCCATGGATAGCCCCACGTCCACGAGTCCACTACAGCCAGGTGAGCTGAATCCAGAAATTGTGGGTCTGTCTTGCAAGTCCTCTCTGTCTATCTTGAGGCTCCCCGGTCTCAATGAATGTTCGAACCTTCAGGCGGCGTGACATCATCTGAAATGAGCGCCTGCCAACGCTTCTTTCACGTGCACCTTGATGCCTCTAATCTCTAATAACCTTTTCGATGGCGAGTCCTTCAGGAACGTCTGAGTGAATCGGGCATTTCATAGTAGGGATAAGATCTTAATGAGCTCATTGTTCGATGAGAAACTCTCCGGTTTCGCAATCGGCAAGATGATAGTTTTTGACAGCGTCGTCGGTAACGGGTCGAGATTTTCTTGTACATTGTATTCGGGTTAAACGTCTGGAAAAACGAAATTGCATGTCAATTAGTTAGGAATTCCTGGAATCCAGAATATCTCATTCCCTTTGTCTTGTCCTGTCTTCCACCAGGGCAGGAAGGTGGAATCGAATGTGCAGAGGATTGTCGTCCATCCACCATTCCCAGGGTTTCTATTACAGTGAGTCAACTTTTTCCATTACGTCAATCAATTTTATCGCTTAAAAAAGTATGTTATTCCACTTTGCCGAAGGCGGACAATCATCATTCCCATCCATGCCTATACAGAATTTTCCCTCGATAATCGACACATTACAATGCGTCGATGAGTTGAAAGAGCAGAGGAAATACTGGGAGAAGGATGCATGGAATTATATCCTCCTCAGAGAGGTTTTAATACTATTCAGATATTTCCGCAAGAAAATTAACTCACAACTATCTAGTCAGACCCTGTTTTGGGTAGGTGGGCATATTCGGTAAAATATTTTTCGAGACATCTTTACCGAACCTCTTCCTGGGAATAAAACTTTCGGAGTGGCGTTGCATTCCATATTAAATGAGCTCTGAAGTCCACCGGTATTTTCTATAAATCGGCGGTTCAAGCTGTCATTAATTACAACTTGCAATAGCTCCGAACGAAAATTGTGATCGACATCTACTAGTGCATGGACTTGGCGGTGACCTCGAGGGAAAGAATGCAGAGGCAGACACGCTCGATCCGATTTTTATTTTTAAAGCGCAGACGGAGCAAACAAAGGTATCAACTTAACTGCTTTTAACATTTTTTCTCGAACACGTCATGAGATCCACTTGCGGAGGAGGCAGACGGTTGACCTTCGAGGTTCGACAGCTCTTCTTTCAAGGGCGGCCGTAAATGATGACACGAGGGGGAATATAAGGACTGATCTCTTGATAAATTCCTTCCACGAATTTTTCGGGAATCCACATCCTAGAAGATACCTACCGGGGGGGAATAAATATTCATACCGCAATTGTCATACCGCTGAAAAAATTCTCGCTGTAAATAAATCGTTCTTCGAGTGTCTTGAATGATGACTGAATCCATGAGGATGACTGGATGATTCCGTGCATTCAGTCCTCCACCTCTTTGTCTCGTTCTGCTGCACAAACCGGTTGGCTGTATCGATCGCGATTCAGAGGCGCAAACAAGTGATTGCTTTTGTTTCTTGGGTCTTGGCTTTTTGGAGTGATGACAAAGTCGCAAGGAACAGGAAGATCTTGACAATAGATTAGTGTTTCGTGCTTTCAAGCTCAGCTCAGTGACAAGTTAGACCTTCTCCACGAGGCTGGATCAAGGATTAGTAGAGAACATTGAGAAAAGCTGCAGAACATCTTACGATCGTGCCTTGACTGTTCTTGCGTGTTAAAGAATATAGTTAAACAATTTAATTTATGCTACTATTTCCCTAGAGGGGGGCGGGGGGGGGGGAAGGAATAAATTTCCAAAGGAGGGATAATTCATACTAGTAATTATCTCGATAAAAATCATTCAGCTGGTAAGATTTATTCCTGCACCGACACATATTGGGATCATTTAGGTAACTCAATGAGATTCCTGCCGATGAAAAGTAGACCGAGAACGCTTACACTCTCTCTTTCCGTCATGAGTGGACCTTGAATATACTGTAGGAGGACCAATAGGAATACAGTCTATCATTCGAATTAAATCGTATTCATACCCAACATAAAGAAAGACAACCCGGAGTTGCATTTGCACCCGGTGTCAAATTTGCAGGAAATAAAGTTGAAACGTTGAAACGCCTTATCAGTGAAACGATCCCTTCTTCGTGGCTCAGGGTCATGTTCTTGAAAGCTCCATTCTCTGACCAATTGGTTTTTAAGAGACGTGTCACTTTCTAGCTTCAAGGAATGCCTTCGGATTATACTGCATGTAGTTTATTTCCTGTAACAGACGTACATGCTTCGTCATCCGTCGGAAGAGGAAAACCTGATCTAAGGGGAATAAAAAATTAACAAAAAAAAGAACGAGTAAGATCGTTGAAGGTCAATGAAGAGCGGTTGCCTCACGAGTGGGAGGGGAGAGACGGAAAAATCTGGTTTTTCCCAACATCTCTTCTGTCTCGATCCCACTTCTAGGGGATTAGACTCGTTTCGAATCCAGTTCTCATCGCACGCGTCCCCATTCAATTACTGTGGCACCGATCTCCTCCTCTACTATCGCCGTACGACCGTGAGTTTCAATATAAAAAAGAGAGAACTGGTGTTTTTATATGTTGAGGTAAAAACGGTCAGAGACCTACAAAAACTATCCACACAATGTCTCACAGAAAAAGGATGGGAAAATAAACTTTCTTCCTTTTCTTAATAATGAGATTTTTCAAATTTTTAAAAATAATTGTTATAAAAGACCCTCTCCTAAGAATTTTTTTAAAATGAACGTTTGTCCGGTGGATTCCTCTTTCTTTTTATCGTATCCACGTATCGTATAAACGGGAATTTTCTCACGTCTTTGATTCACTTTGAAACATAATAAGGTTCATCATGAGGTATTTATTTAAAATGTATGGGTAGAAATACTTGGAGATGCGCAAATTATATTGCCGAATGTTTTACATCAATGTCTTGAACTTTCTTGTCAATTTTGAGAACAAGGTATCAGGTGGTAAAGTATCCAAATGGATTTCGATTACTCACTTGTCAAATTCGAAGGAGGTTGAGTTTGGTAAAATATTTAATAGGGATGCAAAAATTTCTGCAATTCCATCTCTGCCGCCAACTTTGTCGCAAGGTTTTTTTTTAACGGAAACGGAGATGCGAAGAGTGATCCCTTAGGTTCTTAGCCCAAGGTACTTCCAGTTGCAATGCACCATTCTCACTCTTCTCATGAGAAGACAGATGTCAAAGATGGGAAAACTTCGTCGTGTTTATCAATTAACGATGACTTCAATGAAATATTTTTCCAATGTGCCATCAAAGGGTCTGCCGAATGGGTATTAAAATTGAGACGAATGCTCTGATTATTTTTCTAACCTCGGAGGAGTCAATCTCCGAGCAGATCTTTCGTAGAAAAGTCAGTAGAACTCTACCCTCTCGTCTCCTGAAACATCTGCTGGGAAATCGACTCCTCAGAGGTTGAAAAATTCATCACAGCATTCGTCTCAATTTTAATACCTCTTCGACAGATCCTTCGGTTGTCCATAAAAAAATTCATCGAAGCTATCTTTAATAGACAAATATGATGAAATGTTGCCAGTCATCAAAGATATCTGTCTTCTCGTGAGGAAAGTAAGAACGGTGTATTGCAACTGGAAGTGCCTCTAGCTTTAGACTTTTCGATCACGCCTTGTAGCCCAGCATCTATGCTGGAAGATAAATGGGCGTTATTTTCTGCAAATAAAGAGGACATCTCGTACCCTCAAAACATATAACGTTATATATCTCGTATTTTAATAATGGCGTCATTAATCGCACTTCTCATACATTTTCCTCTTAGGGTAAATAAAGTACGGACCTTGGAGCGATTTAAAACTTTCAACACAATTCGACCAGAAAGAATAAAATGAAGATATACTAGTAGGCTTTCCAACTGATAACGACCATCTCGTATGATGTAACAAGTTTTCGTTGCGACGTCATCACCATCTGCGGTGAAAGGAGATCACACCATACTCTTCATCGTCTGATCGGCTCCCGTTCCTATTTAAAACTTGAGCAATCGATCGGTGGTGACACTCGTCACTTCACAGTTTCCATTTGTATTTCATTTATTTTCTAAACCGAAAACCTCTGATGCGTGGCAGCATCTCATGGTGTGTCACAATCGTGGGAGAACTTCGCATGATGCTACGGATCCGAAGGAACGGCCGGGGGGATTCGTGAAACGAGGTTGAGACGGAGTGAGAGTAACCATGGGCCAATAACAGAAGAGACTTGTGTAATGAGAGCCCGAAACCGACTCTCCTGGGTCTGGTTCCATATCTAGGCCCCTTCGTCCACATACCATTGCATTCATTTTTCAGCATTAATGAGGTACACGGGCTAGAGGGAGTATCGTCCGTCGCGTTGTAAATTAAAGGCTGAAAAAATATAAAGCATCTGGAAACATGATATTCTACTTATTATAACGAGAGCTGGAACGCACTCGTGCACCTGTTTCTTCGCCGGCAAACGAATAATATCTGTGACGAGGATAGGAAACGACGCCCTTGTTTGCGACGAAGGTCGATTCGCATCTTTCATCGGAGGTGGGAGAGTGTCCCTGGAGAGGAAGGATGGAAACATGGCTTTCATCACAACCCAAAGGTCGTACAAGCGTCCATTTAAGGCTAGCGAAAACGAGTTGCACATCCCACAAAAACGAATCGACCGGAAATAGGATACCTGCTCGTCCTTGAGACGAAGGAAGATGAAAGATATATGGCAGCTATCTTCAGAATTCCAGTTCCTCGAAACGAAGAGAATCTCTGTGCCCCTGCCCTCGAAATGCATCGGATGACTGGTAATGACAGAAAGCACTTTGGAAACGACTCACACAGGAGTCTTTCTGAATTCTTATAAGCAGATGCATGGGGAAGCCTTTTAGCAGGTCAAGGCTGTGATTCACACCCAAGCCTCGTTTCATAAACTTCTATTTAAATTCCCTCTCGACGAAACCCGTCCCAGCCAGAACCACATTTTTCCAGATGACAAGTAACATCGACGAAGATGTCCATCGATGACGTAATTTCATTCGGAGAATCCCAGATCCTGTTTATAATCGCCTTTGATTGGATGGCTCCTGCGCATCCTTCCCGGAATTCAGAGAGGATACGTATTTGGCAGCTCTTTCCTGGAGCACCAGACTTTCTGCCCTAGAAGGAGATTTTTTTATGGCAGCGAATGAGGAAAGTGGAAGTGCGTTCCGCATTAGTAATTGTGATACACTCCGTTCAAAATAACGAAGCTCTCTACGTAATCATCTCAACGTTGACACTTGTAAAGTGTCTAAAAAGAACTCGGTGCAGTTTTTATCTTAGGGGAAACGAGACACGGTTAACTCGAGGTGTCATATGAGTAGATGAGAACGAAAAGAAAACATATTGGAATGTGATTCGTCCAAATGCTGGCGAGGAGCAGCAGTGAAAAAACAAGTGAAAATAAAATAGAATTTTCTATTCTCAGACTTCCTGGGGGAAAAGAGGATTGGGTCTTTGCATATAAAAGCAGGGAAGGTGTTATGTTCGACAATTAAAAAAGAGTTGTGAAACAACAAAGTAATAGGGGTCTGCTCAAATCATTCAGAACCAATGTCTTAAAAATTCTACCACTGCCCCCTCTTCCTCTCCCTCTACCCCATTCCTCCTTTCCCCCTCTTTCTCTCCCTCTACCACCCTCCCCCCTCCCCCCTGATCTCTAAAATGAGCCTCCCAACATTTCCCCCTGGAACCCTATTCGATCAAATTTCAAGCCCCTTTATTTAAAATCTATCAGTCGTATGAACATGACCCAAATTCAAAATGCATTTGTCTGGAAATAAAAAAATCGTAATATGTAATTGTTACCTTGGTATTCTTTATTTCGCATTTCTGCAGAACTTCAAAGTTTGGTCAATTTTAGCATTTTTCGTCCCAGATTATCTCATAAATAACAAAGTTACCGCTTCTAAAAACTTTGACACGAAGCTGTCATTTTTCCGGTTACACGTACCATACTTATCATTGTACCAAACCACTTACATCAACTCCTAAAAGTTTTCTATTCCTCTAGGCATTGGCATTTTCCCAAGAAAAGTCATACCTTGTGCATACCTTGTTCATACCAATGAACCGCAGGAAGAGAATGTTCAAAGAATTTATCAAGAATTTAGTGCCTTAACAGCTGAATTCTCAATAGGTGAAAATGAAACATGCACTAGGGTTTCTTTCATTTTGGTCACGTGGCAGCATCGTTGAAGGAATGGGAGAATGATCGGTGGTCTCCATGAAGAGTAAAATGGAGCTGTTTTGCTAAGGGCAGTTTTTGGCGATTGAGAAAGATCAGCTGTGCGTTTAAGGTCCTTGGGTAGCCGATCTTTCAATTAAAAAACCTAAGGGCACTCTAATCATACCCTATATCATGCATGTTTATGTTCTTAATTTTTCAATGAGGAACCGGAGACTTTCACGAATCATCAAATCTTCCGGAATTAACATTTATTGACCCACCAGAACATGCTACCATTTTTGCGTAATCAATGGGTATTCTCGCTTTGAGGATATTCTCAATCCGAGAAAAAAAAGCCTCAGATGATGCATGGTATTCTCAACAGGAGACAAGGAAACATGGCTCCACCACCGATGGGACCGCTGCGGCTATTCCTCCTCATGTGTTCAGTCCTGCCTGGGGAGGTGTTTCCAGCTCCCCATCCATCACCAGCAGCAGCACCATCGCCGCAGATGTTCAAGTTAAGGGGGCCGAAAGCTGAGACCGGTGACCCGTTCCCAATCATTCCCATGGTATCCCGAGGCCGGATTCTTCGTCCCGATCCCGTCGCTATGATCCTTCTGCGGAAACGAAGGGTCGTCCCGCATCGCATCAACCGTGGCCCCAAAGCCGATGAGCCCGAAATTAGTCCCCTCTCGGTTCGTTATACCATCTTGTGCCGTAGTACTTACATTGCTTATGAATTTGAACGCAAAGTGGATTATTGGTTTGAAGAACTCTCCCTACAAGGTAGAAAATTATTTAAATTTACCTAAAAGAAAACATCATAATCCGAGTTATCTCGTACAGCAGGATTGTCATCAGATATTCCTTCCACCAGCATTGACTCAAAGGATTTAGTCTACTTCAGACACCTTCGAGTGACTCACTGAGGGATTTCCATTGTGTCTCTTTTACCTCCATAACGTCAGCTGCAAACCATATATGCAATTTTTCTCTTTACGATTGCATGGCCAAAAGTCCATGCTCATGAAGACAAATTTGAAGATAGGGGATTTACGGTTGGCCCTACTTGAGGTATATCATCACGCGCTTAGAAAGATGGCTTTACCTCATTCAAAATTCAACAAGCCGACTCAAAAGAAGCTACTAGTACATGAGCTAATACCTGAATTTCCAACGCACCGATAAAGGCATGTAAATTCCGAAAAAATTTGCGATACTGTCCCTTACTCACCGCCCTTCCTGGACATTATGATGATCAATTATAATTTGATTTTTTTTTTACATTTTATTTCTGGGAAGTTACTGAAAGTCCATGCTCCATATTTAAAACGGATAACTTTTGGTTTCTGTATTATGCCATAATTGAGTCAATGATTTTGACTTTGTCCGAAAAGTTCGCATTGAATAATTGAGAAAAGAGATAAATTTCATTTGTATAGAGTAAATGTAAGTAACATGGTGTTGAAGTTGTTGCTGATACATATGCTGCAGCTGACAAACGCGTGTGCCATCAGGAGAGTGGAGCATCAAGCTTCCTCCGTTCTCTCATGAATGACCTCAGTCTTGAGCTCGCTTTTCGTGTCTTGTAATATACTTCTTTATTCTAACAGCAAGATGAAGCGGAAGTCACGCAGGGTGACCGCCGAGCCAACATACTTCGAGGTCAACGCGTCCTTGCATCTCCGGATGACTCCAGCATCCCAATACAGCAAAATTTTGAGTCCTCAGACCTGGAAAAAAGGAAAGACAGCCAAGAAGATAAAGAATCTAGTAAGGCATCACGTCCAGAGGATTCAAAGAAGTCAGACAAAGGGCTCGATGATGGTCAGAGTGACATTGAATCTCCAAACAAAGTCCCTCAAGGCTCAGGCAAAGCAGACAAAGGAAAAGAAGACACAGATGCTCAAAAGGAAGACGCTCGAACGGCTACGGGTACTGGGGAAGCCATTTCAGAGGACGATACAATCGACAACACAAAAGAGAGTCTTTCTACGAATGGAGAAATAGGAAGAGATGACGGAAATGGAGGAAGTGGAGATGGGCTTGATGCTACCGCTGATGACGGTGATGCTGACCAAAACGGATCTAATGACAGTTCTCACGATATTGATAAGGATGGATCTGATGATGGTACTGATGACGCAAACAAAGATGGGTCTGATGATGGTACCGACGACGCAAACAAAGATGGTTCTGATGATGGGACCGATGACGCAAACAAAGATGGTTCTGATGATGGTACCGACGACGCAAACAAAGATGGGTCTGATGATGGTACCGACGACGCAAACAAAGATGGTTCTGATGATGGTACCGACGACGCAGAGAAAGATGGGTCTGATGATGGTACCGACGACGCAAACAAAGATGGTTCTGATGATGGTACCGACGACGCAGACAAAGATGGTTCTGATGATGGTACCGATGACGCAGACAAAGATGGGTCTGATGATGGTACCGACGACGCAAACAAAGATGGTTCTGATGATGGTACCGACGACGCAGAGAAAGATGGGTCTGATGATGGTACCGATGACGCAAACAAAGATGGGTCTGATGATGGTACCGATGACGCAGAGAAAGATGGTTCTGATGATGGTACCGATGACGCAGAGAAAGATGAGTCTGATGATGGTACCGATGACGCAGACAAAGATGGGTC